CATTTCACGTACAAAAAAGTCGACATGTACAGGTCGAAATATCAGCTTTATATCGACACTGCAGTGTCGAAAATGTCAAAATAATTCGACACCCATTAACTGTCGAATTATATTGAAATTATCGACATTCTGGTGTCGATATTAAGCGGATATTTCGACGCTAGTGTGTCGAATTATCACTGTTACAATTGTGTAACCAATTTTCCGGTTTTTCTTGCAGAGTTTTGTACCAGAAATTTGTTTAAACAATCGACACCAGTGTGTCGAAAATTTTCCAAAAAACCGACAAGTACAGGTCGATTTTTGTAAAACCGCAACTCCTTCAACATTAGTGCTACAATCGAACCCTAGAATCATCAACTATGTTCTAAAACGACTTGAATTCATTATTCTAACAATAAAATCATGTTTATCACATTTATTTCTCAAAAAAAAGTTAATTCAAAAAGTAATTTTTACTTGTTTTTCGTGAGATTGTTGCGGCGGGGTTGGGGCAACAACGGAGTTCAACGGCGACGGGCGACGGCGGTGGACTTCAACGGCGACGGCGACGGCGACGGGGCGACGAACGGTTTTCTGCTGCAATTGATTTTTTTTGTTTTCTTCAATCTTCCCTCCTCGTTTTGATTTTGTCAATTCAATTTCTTTTTTCTTTTTGTTTTATTAATTTTTTTTTAAATTGGTCTTGCAAAAGAAAATTAATAAAATAATTTTTTTTTGTTTGTATTTTATTAAGGTTATTATAGTCTTTTTATACTGAATTTAATAAAAAAAATTAAATTGGTCTTGCACTAAGTAAATTTCGTCTTGCAAATAGTCGCTGCCTTGCATAATTTGAATTTTAAGTGAACTAAATAAAAAATTGAATGAACTAAACTGTAATATATGTATAATGTAATGGGTGAATTTGTAATTGAGGGGAGTTTGAGTCTATCCTACCCATGAAAAAATTAATTCCGTGTAGACTTTTTTTATTGATAAATATCTTATGTATTTAATTGGGTGCAGAAAAAAATTGACAAGAAGTAATCATCATTAATGAATAATGATGGACTTGACTTGACAAAAATAATATTAGGAGTATAGTTTTGAGTAAATTACGGCCAACCCTCTCAGATAAGTATAAATTACGAAAAAATCCTTCAGGCTTGAGTAATTACAACAACCCCTGAACTATGAATCTTCTTACACGTCCACTCTTGCAGTGTCAAATTTACATAATCTTCTAGATTCTGTGGAATGTTCTCTAGTTTGTACTCGTTTTGTACAAAAAATTGTAGTTTCTGATACACCACAGTCTAATATTTACAAGCCAAGAGACACATCTTATGATCATCTTGTTTCAAAATGTGGAACTCGAATGAGTTAAAACGAGTACAAACAGAAGAATATTCCACATAATCTAGAAGATTTCACTAAATTTGACACTGCAAGGGTGGACGTGTAAGAAGATTCATAGTTGAGGGAGGTGGTTGTAATTACCTAAACAAGAAGGATTTTTTCGTAATTTGATCTTACCTCAGGGGGATAGCCGTAATTTACCATAATTTAATATGAAATCCAGTCCTCTAACTTTTCTTTTATTGTAAAAGGCCCCGCACTTTCTTTCTCATGCATATTTAACTTCAAAAAGTAGAAATTAATTCTGTTAATCCTCCAAAATTGATGGTAACGGGATGAATTTGAGCTGAAATTTTTGCATATCGTTTTTTTCCTCAAACTTTAAGATGAGTGGAAGCAGTAGCATGATGATGATGATGGCGCCGGGAGGCGGAGGCGGCGGAAGAGGAGGAAGCAGCGGAGGCGGAGGTCGGTCGTGGCCGTCGACAACGTCGGTGTCGTCTTCAGGGAAGAGAATACAAAAGGAATTGTCGGAGCTGAGTATGGAACCTCCGCCGGACTGCTCCGCCGGCCCCAAGGGCGACAATCTCTACCATTGGGTCGCCACACTGTTCGGTCCTCCCGGTACGGTACCCTCCCCCTTTTCACATTTGTAATTGTAGTTGTACCTTGTGCTCGAAGAGTTGTACCTTCATATCGCCGCCGCATTTTACCTGTAGAATTTTAATTTGTAGATTAGAGGATGTGTTTATAATTTTCTTTTGAAATTGCTGGAGAATTTTCAATTAATTAACCTAGTTCAGAAATTTTAGGTATGACATTTCGTCACAATACTATTTTCAAAATTTCCTCAAGTTGAATCGAAAGCTTTGGCGCGTTTCTCCGTAGTCGAGTTTTGGGGCCAGTGAGATATTCTTGTTGGTAATGTTGCGCATTTCTCGCATTAACTTTGTGCACTTTGACAGGTTTAGTACTTTGACTTGAGAATCCATGGTACCTTGTGCATAATATATTGTATTTTGATGTATTTCTCGACTGCGTAGTATGTTGGGTTTACAACGTAGTTAAGTTGTTCGTTTTGTTAATCATAGACGATGTAAGTGATGGCTGTTATATGATGAACTCAAATTCTTTTTTTTCGTTTGAGTGTGTGTGGTCTGAATTCGTTTTCCTTTTATCGAAGAATTCGTTTTCCTTTTATCGAAAATGCTGAGGTTGTCTTCAGAGCATGAGTGAGTGAGTGAGTGAGTGAATCCGCGTTTAATCGTATGGAAGAAGTCTTTGCTTCCTGATTTCACTTTTTTTTCGTTTTCTGGCCACTTTTTCGCCTTCCTTTGGCATAACGAGAAACGATCGAAGGAATTAATGCTTATTACTATTTTCAGTAGAGAGTGAAAATTGCAAATTTAAAATTGATATCAAAGAAATTCATATGCGGTTCAATTCAACCCAAAACGTGATGAAAATCATGGGGGCCCACGTCTTTCCATCAATTTTAATTATTAAATTGTTTCTCGAAATGCGATAAATGAGAATATGCAGAAGCACTTTCTTTTGGCAAGTCTAATGGATCTCTAACCGAAAATTATGTCTATGTTTTTGTAGGGACACCTTATGAAGGCGGCATATTTTTCCTCGATATAACATTTCCGAGTGATTATCCGTTTAAACCGCCCAAGGTAATACTAGATTGATATAGTTACGGATGCTTCGTGCGTAGAAGATTATTAGTAATTGTAATTGTTCTTTTCTGCGACAATTTCTCGTTTATTTATCGCCAGTCACTCGTTTATATATATACCAGCTCGTATTTCTGAATTTTGACTTCAGATTTTCAGGTAGTATTCAAAACCAGAATATACCACTGCAATGTTGACTCTGCCGGCAATGTTAGTCTCGATATCCTGAAAGATGGGTGGAGCCCGGCTCTAACTATCTCGAAGGTTCTGGTAGCACTCAGATCTATCTTTAACAACCCCGACGCGTGTAAATACTTTCAACCTCTGCATTTCAGTTCTCTGTTTTAATCTATAAATAAAATCGAGCGACTGTGTTTTGTTTCTTAGTGATGATGTTTCTTGCAGATAAACCCCTTGTTCCAGGTATTGCACACTTATACTTGGCTGATAGACTGAAGCACGATGAACTTGCTACAGAGTGGACTCAACGGTTTGCCAGGTAAATATCGTAAAACTGATTGAACGATACCCGAAGAGTTTAGTTGATTCCGATTGCGAACTTCAATTCTAAAAGGTACCAAGTTGTTCAAAAGACAATCAACATTTTCCAGCTTGTGCCGTAGAGCTTTTTTTTTTTTTTTTTTTTTTTTTTCTTTTTCCCTTTCCCTTTGGTGATTTACGCTATCACTTTAGCAAATTGTCGTTCTCTGGCCTAACATCGTAAACTGCTAAATGTACAAAGTTATGCATGTAACTCCAATACAACGTATTTTTGG